CTGGCGTGGGGGTCCCTCCGGTGCGGGGCTGGCACTGCTCGGGCTGCCCCGGGCCGCCGCCCGCCTCGCTGAGGGTCAGTCGGCGCTCTGCGTGCTCCTGGCATTTCATGAGGAATGGTGCCTGTCAACGTTAATTCGGAAGGCAGGAAGCGACTGGTGAATAAACCCCATTACCTCTGCGTAGGGGAAACTTCTCGGTCTGTTCCAGCCATTTTAATTATCTAGTGTGAAAAATTCCCCTTGTTGTTACTGGTGAAAGGAAAACCCTTCCTGTTATGTGAGGAGGACTGGCCAGCGGGTTTCTATACAATGCGGTTTCTCACAAAATTGTTCCTAACCCTCAAGGTTGGGTAATAGCTGTTGGGGGAAGGCCACTGGGGCTAGTAATGATCTAATCTTGCTATCTGCTGCATAGCATGGGCTGGGTGACGTAACCTTTGGTTTGCCAAGTCCATGGGGCTGTGCAGCAGTCAGATAATTTAAAAAAAAATGCAGATTTTCTTATTAGAAAAGTGTGCTGCAGTCAGAGTTGAAATACTTTGGGCTGCTCGGTGAAAGGTAATTAAACTATTACTGATGAATGAAAATTGTGGTCAGGTGTCTTGGGTTTGTTTTTGAATTGTAGGGCATTGCAGAGACTTTCTTGGACTTTTTTTTTCCTGCAACAAAAGTAATCTTTTCTTTCAAGAGTTTTGTTTAATTTTTGTTCCTTCATGTTCAGTTTATCTTAAGAACTGCTTTGCTTTTTTTGATGCAATGTAACTGTAGAATTACAGAGCTTAGAGGTATTTCAAAAGCATCCAGTCCTGCCTCCTACTAGTGAGCTAGGTCATTTCAGACAGATATTTGCCTAGCCTTTCTATTTGACACCTCTGAACAAGGGGATTCAACCATCTCCTGAAGTAATACACTGCAGCGTTTCTCCATGGTTGACTTCTTGCTGATACGACATCTGAATGTGTACTGCAAATTAAGCTGATTGGGCAGTTTTAATTTACAGTCAAATGTTCATGAATAGCTTTAACAATTTCTTTCCCAGTGCTACTGTTTTCCTGGTAAGTGTGTGAGCTTCAAGACGCTGACTTGTGCTGCATATTATTGCTAACGTATATGTAAAAATCGACTTTTGGGTCTATTTTCCTCAATGTTAGATATCGCAGTACTTAGTCATCTGCTGAATCTGGATAGATAGGATCAGCTGCACTTATTAGTTTCACTGCTGCTATTTTCAAAGCCCTGTGGGCAGCAGTGAAACTGTACGGAATTGTGTCTGTTTCCTAATGCTACCTCTGTTACTGCTGTGAGTAGCAGGCTAGGGCGCTGGAGGCTCCTGAGAAAGGAGGGAGAAGGACTCAAAAGGAGGGCTGTATGTGTTAGTCCAGCTTTCTTGTGAGCTCTAGTTTGAAATGGAGGGAGAGGGCAGAGGAAGAAGTCCCTTAGAAAAAGGGAGAAGCTTTACGGTTAAGACAGCTGTTGTCCAGAGCTTGATATGAAAGAGAGAATCTAGAAGGCTTCAATACCAGGATCCTCTCATTCATGTACAGCCTAGGGTACACAGGATTAGCATTTCACCAGGGTTGTGCTAAGGACCTACTTCACTGGTGATGTCCATCTCCTGTGTTATCTTTATACCTGGCAGGAAGGGCTCGGGCATGCGGTCCTGCTTGTTGTGCTGGAACGAGAGTAAATCAGTCCATCTGGAACAGCTTTTGTTTCCTTTAGCTCTCTGAGAAACTCTGGATTCTTTTAAATAGCATGCGCTTGGAGAAGACTTATGTCTTGCTAAAGTCATCTGTACATTGCTATTGTTGCAGAGCACACTTACAGTTGGAAAACTGCAAACCTTCCAGGGATTCTCACCCTCTTGGCAGGGGGCGCTTCTTGTATGCTTTCTAAGGTTGCTTTACGCTTTCATTGTGACACACCATCATAAAAAGTAATTTTTGCAATATTCTGCAGCCACAAAGCATTGTGTTTCCACAGAAGTCATACCACTACAATGTAAATAAAGTGGGAGAATAGATTAGGAGGGAGGACAGTGTGGATAACTAAGATAAGAACTTTCTGCTATTGCTATTCTCAACGGTGTTTTAGTTAAATAGAGAATGAAACACAAAAAGATGGAGCTAGAGCTGTAGACTGGCATTCACCCAGTAAACAGCTGTTCTGGTTGAAGATGCCATTGTCCTTGACTGTTTATCCTGCCTCTGCTGGAAATGGCTGCTTCCCAGGTGGAGTTGTGAAGGCCTGCTATCCTGTTCCTGCCCCAAGTCCGCTAGGTTACTGTACAGTTTAAATAAATGCTCTGCATTAATCCTGCTGATGTTTGCCTGACATGTTTGGGAATGCTCATGTGAACAGCTCTGCTGGCAAAACTGTAAACGTGGTAGCTATTTTCCTACACAGAGGGCTGGAATAGGACCATTATCTACCAGCCTGGTGTG